AAAAGCTGTCCACCATGGGTAATCCTGCTGGCATTCAAAATACCGGTGGCATAGGTTCCAGCATCACAGCAACATGCAAACAGTATTCCTAAAATATTCCAAAGACTCATCCAATATAGAGGTTAAAGCTTAGAATAAAGTTCTAGAGGAGGTCTGGATTCTAATCCTGTTTCTGCCTCTATCTAGTTGCATGATTTTGAGTAAGTCCTTTTATCATAAGTCATTTTTCTGAATTGTAAGCAATATTTGAATTTAACGCTCTCTAAGACCCCATTCTTGTGTGGTACTGTAGGATAAGCACTGGACTGCTAACCAAAAGGTCAGTACAGATCCACCAGCCGCTCCTTGGAAACTTTATAAGATCATTGTGAGTTGGAACTGACTCAGTGGCTCTTAACAACAGCAAGAACATCTCGCTCAAGTATAAAAGTCCGTATTCTGAAGTATAATGTCAAATCTAAATACCTTTACGCCAGCATCCATTTAGAAGCTAGGACATCAGCTAATGGCTTCGGATTGCCTGAGTTCCAACATTTATTGTTGTTAAGTGCCGTTGAGTCCATTCTAACTGGACTTCTAACTGCAAGATCAGTGGTTCAAACCCACCGGCTGTTCCTCAGGAACCCTTGTACAAAATCTCCATGAGTTGGAACTGAGTTGACCACACTTAACAACAAAAGGATTTCCAAGGAGTGACTGGTGGATTTGAACTGCTGACTTTGCTGTTAGTAGTCCAGTGCTTATCCTAAAGCACCACACCAGAATGGGATCTTAGAGAAAATTAAATCCAAATCTTGCTTACAATTCAGAAAATGATTTACCATAAAAGGACTCATAGCAACAATGTAGAGGTTTTCCAAGGCTATAAATCTTTGCAGGAGGAGAAAGCTTTTTTTCTTAGCTTCCTCATATGAAAATAAATAGAGGATAATGATAGTACTTCGGTGGCTTGTGAGAAAAAAATCAATTAATGCAAATAATTTGAGTGATTCATAGCATATTCTTGCTCAATAAATTTAATTATTTTTATTTTGTATTCAATTTGAGATGTCAGGAGCAGAATCCCACAGAATCCCATCCACACAAACACAACAAAACAAGGGGCTTCTTCCTAACTCTAGGAGATTCTGATTGGTAGGTGAAGGATTTTATGGGTAGGAAAAACAAATCTCCAGGTGATTCTGATCTCTTTGCCCTTGCATTTTCCTCTCAGTCATAAAGAAACAAGATCAGGGTCTTTAAAATAGAGCCACAGTCCCCAAAACTCTTTAACAGTTGAGTCACACTGGGTACATTCAAGACAAATAAATACAATGGGATAAAAAGTTATACTTCAATTTGTTTGATAATTAAACTTAAGTACACAGGGGATAGTTTAGATTTTTATCTTAAATGTATCTATAAATATTTCTGAAATAGTTTTCCCTTATTACATCTTTGGGGAGCGCTAGAATAGAGATTAGATGTGTGTGGCACATTAGGAAAAGCACTGGACTGCTAACTGCAAGGTAAGAGGTTCAAACCCATCAGCTGCTCCTCAGAAACTCTATACAGGGTCTCAATGAGTTGGAACTTATTCAGCGGTACTTAACAACAAACAACACCGTAATATTACATTCAGGGTTTGATGAAAGTCTAGCTAACATTGACTTCTAAGTATTACTTCATTTTCCAGTTAGCTTTACTGATTAAAAATAAAATTATATAATAGAACCTCTAAAGTCTAAGGGCACAAGTGCAAATGATCTGCTTTGTCATTTAAATTTATTGCTACTTTATTATGATCACTTTAGTATTTCACATCCAGTGAAATCAGTAAGATTATCTCCTAGAAAAGAATGCATATTAAACAATTTGCTTTGTCTTAAAAGGAGTTACTTCCTTTCTAGGGAATCAAAACAGAAGTAAATAAGTTTCTCCATACTCATATCCCAGCTTTGTTTTCAATTAATTGAAAGAAAAGTCACAATCTACTCATGAATGTTAATGTGGTCTTATTTTGCCTTAATTCTTTGCCATACATTTTTCACATTACTCCAACTACTCAAGTTGTTCTTGATATATCTTCACAGAAACCCGGAACTAGACAAATGTGTTAGGTGACCATTGGATGTAGAAGTCATGTTTAGTAGAGAACTCTTCCATAATCATAGTATGCTTAGACCCAAAGAGAGTGGGGAATAGTAGGGACTGTCTCTCTTATCATTGACTGACTGCTCATAACAGATGATTCCAGGAACCAGATGGGTTTTTGGAAAATCAGACTTAAACTTGTATAGGTGGTATGGTAAGGAGAAGAAGTCACACTTTCTAAATTGATGTGGATTACTCTGGTAGCGTGTTTCTCAGCTATTCATAAGGTTTTCAGTGACTAAATATTCGGAAGTAGTGTGTCACTCCTTCCTAGTCTGTCTTCGTCTGGAAGCTCATCTGTAACCTGTCCATGCTGGCATTTAAAATTCCCGTGGCATAGTTTCCAGAATCACAGCAGCTCACAAATCACCACAGTATGACAAACTGACAGATCAGTATAGTGGTCTTATAGCCACTGATACTGAAGGAAGAAGTCCAAGGTGCATTGAAGGAATTGGCAAAGAACAAGGCACCAGGAATTGATGGAATACAAATGGAAATCTTTCAAGAAAATGAGGCGGCATTAGAGGCACTCACTCATCTATGCCAAGAAATTTGGAAGTCAACTATCTAGCCGACTGATTGAAAGAGATCCCTGTTTGGGCGCATTCCAAAGAGAGGTGACCCAACAGAATGCGGAAATCATCGGCCAATATCCCACGCAACTAAAGTTTTACTAAAGGTAATACAGAAATGGCTGCAAGCATACAGTGACAGAGAACTTCCAGTGGTTCGTGCCAGATTCAGAAGAGGCTGTGGAAAAAGGAATATCATTGCTGATGTCCAATAGATCTTGGGTGGAAGCAGAGAATACCAGAAAGATGTTTATCTGCTTTATTGACTACGCAAAGGCTTTCAATTGTGTGGATCATGACAAGCTATGGACAACATTGCAAAGTATGAGTATTCCAGAACACTTAATTGTACTTCTGAGAAATCAAACAGAACATGGGAACACTGAATGTTTTAAAATTAAGAAAGGTGTGCAACAAGGTTGTATTCTTTCACCATACTTATTCAACCTGTATGCTGAGCAAATAATCCAAGAAGCTGGGTTATATGAAGAAAAACGTGGCATCAGACATCATTAACAACCTGTAATATGCAGATGATACAACAGTGCTTGCTGAAAGTGAAGGGGACTTAAATATTAACTGATGAAGATCAAAGTTCAGTCTTTGGTATGGGTTGCATCTCAATGTAAAGAAAACAAAAATCCTCACCACTGGACCAATAAACAACATTCTTATCAATGGAGAAAAGATTGAATTTGTCAAGCACTTCATTCTTCTTGGATCAACTGTCAACACTCATGGAAGCAGCAGTCAAGAAATAAAATATATTGCATTAGGCAAATCTGCTTGCACAAGACCTTTTTAAAGTGTTGAAGAGCAAAGATGTCAGCTTGAGGACTAAGATGTGCCTGACCCAAGCCATGGTATTTTCAATAACCTCATATGTATGCGAAAGCTGGACAGTGAATAAGGAAGATTGTAGAAGAATTGATGCTTTTGAGTTGTGGTGTTGGAGGAGAATATTGAAAATCCCATCGGCTGCCAAAAGAACCAACAGATGTGTGTTGGAAGAACTGTATCCAGAGTGTTCCTTGGTGGTCAGGATGGCCAAACTTCATCTCTCATACTTTGGACATATTGTCAGGAGGGACCATTCACTGGAGAAGGATATCATGTTTGGTAAGGTGGAGGTCAGAGAAAAACAGGCAGACCTCCAGTGAGATGGACTGGCAAAATAGCATCAATGGACTCAAGCGTGGCAATAATTGTGATGTTGGACCAGGACCAGGCTGTGTTTTATTCTGTTGTGCGTAGGGTCGCTATGAGTCGGTACCTACTTGATGGCACCTAACAACAACTCTGGTAGAATAGCAGCTATGAGTCGGACTGCTAACTTCAAGGTCAACGGTTCAAAACTACCAGCTGTCCTGCAGGAGAAAGATGAGGCTTTCTGCTCCGGTAAAGATTTGCATCCTTGGAAAATGTATACAGGGTTGCTATGAGTTGGTCATGGCACATCACCACTACCACCACCACTAGTGTGGTGCTGTATGATAAGCACTGGTCTGCAATGTCAGCTGTCAAAACTTAACTGGATGCTTCTTGGAAACCCTATACGGACAGGGTCGCTATTAGTCAGAACCGACTTGACGGAACTTAACCACAACAGCAGAAAGTCCTGGAGTCCTGCTAAGGTGCTATAAGATAAGCACTTAACCGGTAATCGAAAGGTCAGTGGTTCAGAACCACCAGCTGCTCCTCAGAAACCCTATGAGTCAGAACTGACTTGACAGCACATAGCAACAGCAACATAGGAAGTCCTTAACCTGGCAGCAGAAAGGGAACTACAGTAGCTTTGGGAGTTCTGGCTAGGGTAGCAATTTACTCGGTAATTTCATTTGTAGGATCTTTTATAAATAGGGAAGAAGAGAAGAATTTCATGTACATATTAGTAATTTCTATTATTTTTTCTCTTGTACTCTTGATCTAGAACCGACTCGACAGCCCTTAACAACAATAACTCTTGTTCTAACTGTTAAACTTAGTGACTAGGGAGTACCTTCATTTTTTTCTCAGAATCTATTTCATAATATTTCCTAAGCAGTTTTCCCTTACTGAATTTAGAAACTGGAGATTATTTGAATAGCAACTAGAAACTTTAGATTAGAAGTCAGGAAACTTGGAATATGGAGATTTGCTTTGACTACATCAGTCCCAAAGTCTATTAAATCAGGAAATTAGCTATTTCTATTTGTTATATTGATTTCTTAGCTGTAGGGGAAATAACTTATTATATATGCATGGAATTATTTTGTCTGCTGGATTCTAATACTTATTCTAAATTAATTTCAGATTCTTTTAGTGACCACTGTACTCACTTTCAAAGAGTTGTGAAGGCTTTGCTGATCAATGCTTTAGATGAATCTTTTCTGAGCACACTGTATGGTAAGTTAATATGAATGCAACAGTCTCTTTTACCAATTTTTAAGCAATGCAGCTTTAAAAACTATATTAGGCAATCGCCAGTTATTAATGATGGTCAAGACTCTCTGATGTACCCTCTAGGATCAGTTACATCAAAATCTTTTGATATAAGGAGCTAATTAGTGGTAGGTACAAAGAGTACAAAAGTAAGTTACACATCCGTGCTCTTAGAGAGTTCACAGTGAATTTACAGATACCAGACACAGACTCACAAAACAGGGTGGCTTTACAACCAACCATGCTCCATCCTCCTTGAGTTTCAGCAAGACTTACGTGATATTGTATGCACTAGTACTTATACACATGCGTTTCGCTCTCAGAATATAATCCATTTGTACCCCAGATATTCCATGTGAGTATCAAAACATTTCCACTGTGAAAGCTGTGTACGACTCACTCACAAATATTTGTCTCCTTCATTAGTGCCACTGTCATTCTGAGTATGGTGGAATTCAGGTACTTGTACTTTTCCACTGTATTTAAAATATATTTTTGCCTGCCTCACTTACCAGAGTGTGGGAAGAACTATATCCTATGTACACACGTATTCCTTGCATCTAGCACTAAACCTGGCACTTAATGAAGACTATAAATATGTTGGCAGGAGAAAGAGGCTTTCTGTTCCCGTAAAGATTTACAACTTAGGAAGCCCTATACTCATAGTGTTGCTCTGAGTCAGAGCAGATTCAACAGCTTTCGACCACCACCACAAATGTTGTGTTGAGTACCTACCTAAAAGTTAAAATTAAATTTATCTTACCACTTATTTATTAAGTGCCTATGATAGGCTAGGCATTATTTGAGAGCAGGAGATACGGTAGAAACTGTCATGTGACTCATACTTTCATATTGCTTAAAGTCTAATGGGATACAGCCAATACGTATATAAACAAATACACAGCGTAATATGAATTCAACTGGTGATTAGTTCTTGAAAAAATAGTATAAGAAAATATAAGTGATAAAGGAGAAGAAAGCCAATTTTAGCTTTGTTAAAGAAGGTCTCTTGTGAACTCTTAAGGGAAACCAAGTGAGGGAGGGAGTAGCATATGGATCTTGTAGAGAGAAGAGTAAGTGGCAACAGCTTTAGGAAAGAGATAGTCTGGTGTGTTCAGAGAACAACTAGAAGGCCTCTGTGACTAAGGTAGAATGAGATGGGGACAGATGAAATAGATAAACTCAGAGGAGTAGTGCAGAGTTCTTGGATGGTACAAAATAGCTCTACTATTAGCTGAAAGGTCTATGATCAGAAGCCCTTCTGAAGACAGGGCAAGCCTGGCAGTTTGCTTTCAGAAGTTGGCTGTCTAGAAAACCCAATGCAGCAGCTTTACTCTTGACATGAGGGCTGCCAGGCGTCAGAGCTGACTTCATGGCAACCAACAACAACAGATTTATTAAGGAAACCTAAAGAAGGAAGGAAAACAAAGCTTAACTTCCCAAAATATGATAAATACATACAAATAGACAAGCATATAAAGGAGTCCTGGTGTGGTGCTGTAGGATGAGCACTAAACTACGGTTCAAACCCACCAGGTACTCTTCAAACACCCTATATAGGGTTGCTATGAATCGGCACTTAACAGCAACAGCAGGGCCTATAAAAAGCACTGGTGGCATGGTAAGTTAAGTGCTTGGATACTAAACTAAAGGTCAGCAATTCAAATCCACCAACTGCTCTACAGAAGATGTAGCTATCTGCTTCATAAACATTACATTCTTAGAAACCCTATGGAGCAGTTCTCTGTCCTATAGGGTCACTGTGAGTAGGAATCCACTTGATGGCAAAGGTTTTACAGTATAATAAGAGCCAAATCAAGAAGGCAGAAGTGAGTGTAGTGTGCTGAAAGGGAGTGAGGAGACATCTCTAGGGAGAAGAGAAGGCTCTGCTTTCTTGGCACTTGGGGTTACCACTGGATTGTGGTTGTTGGCAAATGCCATCAAATCAGAGTGAGTTTGAGAGGGTGGTGAGTATGAACTGCCAACCTTGCAGTCCAGTGCTTATCCTGCAGTGCCACACCAGGACCACTGGTTAGGTAGGATGAAGCCAGTTGCAGAGGGTGTGGAAAGTCATACTCAGAACTTTGAGCTTGATCTGGAATTTAATGGCTAATCCATGCCAGTTTTATATACGAAAATAAAAAACAGCATGAAAACCTTTTTCATCAGACTGTTTTGTCATCAGGAAATAATTGTTAAAGTTGAAGACTTATAAGGCAAACTATAGCTTTTTTTCTGTTTTTGTTCCTTATTAGCATGATTTTTCACTTCATTTTCTTTTATTTATTTAAAATATCTTCAACCACCAGTGGACTCCTGGTGTGGCACTGTAGGATCAGCACTAGACTGCAAGCCATGAAGTCAGCTGTTCAAAACCAGCTGCTCCTCAGAAACCCTATACTAGGTAGCTACGAGTCAGAACCAACTTGACATTACTTTAACAACAACAAAACCAACCAACCGTCTTCCTTAAAACTATGGGAAGAGATCATAAGTAAAAATTACATATTTTATATGAGAAGAGTGATTGTTTTTGTTGTTATTCCCCCAAACAGATGGCACCAGGCAAAAATCATATGCCAAAGATATGTTGACATCTCTTAATTTTTTTGATGATCGCTTTGTCCAGCCTCGTTTAGAGAATTTATTTTCTAGAAGTCATTGGAAAGAGCAGTATAAGGTATGCACTTTAGTTTCTTATCTCCAGGATAGGAGAAGGAATTGGGGGATGTCAGAGAGGGGGCCCTCTGAGTATTTCAGTACCCAGTGTGACTGAATCCTCTCCAAAGTGTTTGCATTAGTTCTTTGTTAAATAATCTGTTTGTAAAGGCTAGTGTTGTTTATACTCATTCTTACTAAATTATATTTATCCCAATAAATGATAAATAGCTTTAGAACTCTCTAGTACTCAGCCATCTATAAAATGAGTTTTGCTATGACTAGACAAGTCATCAAAGCAAGGATAATTTTTTTAAGTTATTTCTGCTTAATTCTATGCCACAAATGTTAATTGTTTCAAAAATGAGTTCTATATAGCAAAGAAGTTTGAGGGAACTGGGTTTAATTTAGACTGGTTTATTTATTAGAGGACTTTTCAGGAATATTAATATATAAATTTATGCTATAACTCTTTGAGAGAGATAGAATATAATACTTTATAGATGTGTCTTTTATCATTTGTTTCTTACAAATTTGTGAGACTTCTCGGGAAATATCTATTATTATCTCTGAGGATGCTTGATTTACATAGAACATAATCTAGCAAACACTTATCTAGATACATTTTGACAACTTGTTTGCTTCGTTGTTAAGTTCTAGTGAGTCGGTTCCAACTCATAGTGAGTCTATATAGGATTTCCAAAGCTGTAAATCTTTGCGAGAGCAGAAAACCCCATCTCTTTCTCACGGGGCAGCATATGGACTTGAACCACCAACCTGGTTATTAGCAGTTCAGTGCTTAACCTACAGAACCTCAGTATTCCCTTTTTTTTGTTGTTTCCAATGCGATTTGTTATTCTACTGTTTGGGGAAAATACCTCTTTGTTTCATAAAATCTACTAGATTCCATGTGATCTGGCTTTTATATTTTATGATCTCTTAATATTAAGGGCTCTACTATATTAATGTAGTGGTTATGATTCAGGCTGTTAATCTCAAGGTCAGGTGTTCAAAATTGCCAGCTTTTCTGTAGGAGAGAGATGAGGCTTTTTGCTCCCGTAAGATTTGCAGTCTCAAAACCCTATACAGGTCACCATGAGTGGGAACCAAGTCCACGGCACATCACCACCACCACCAGCACCAGTACCACTGTTGTGGCATTGTAGGATAGCCACTGGACCGACCACAAGTTTGGCTGCTGCTGCTTGGAAACCCTATACAGGGTCACTATGAGTCAGAACTGACTCCACGACACATACCAGCCAACTATATTATTTTATTCTTAAGGTCCCCACCCCAACACTTCTAATATTATGTATTCTAATGGTTGTTGATAATGTGCCGTCAAGTCAATTCTGACTTTTAGTGACCCTTTACAGGGTTTCCAAGGAGCAGCTGGTGAGCTTGAACTGCCAAATGTGTGGTTGGAAATCCAGTGCTTATCCTATAGTGCTACAGCAGGAGTCCATTGTCATTATTAGCAAGAAGAAAAATAACAAGATAATTGAGTACCTAAAGTTCCTTCAAGTCTTTCAAGCATTTAAACCACTAGCAACTGTAGTTCATTTATGGCATGTCAGAAGATTGGTTTTATGTAAGGTCTGGTTGACTTTGGATTGCCTGAGGATTTAGTTTTGAATAATTTAGGAGCAGATGATGAGGGTTAAAGGACAGTTACAGGATTACAGAAAAAGGTAGAAGGCCTTAAGTTAGAACTTGGCTTGAGTTTAGGGCTATTATATATATCTTTTTGACTTGGGGTAAGTTTTCAACCTCTCTGAACCCCAGTTTCTTCTTCAGATAAAAAACCTATTAACCTACTTCAAAATGAAATATTTACTTACTTTGAAGGTAAAGTGCATATATTCATTATTAAAATATAGCATATTGTTTTCTTTAATGGAAAAAAGTAGCATTTGTTTTATTATTGATCATCTAATTTTTGCCAAGTACTTTATATTCAAAGTAAAATATCTTATTTACTCTTAGAAGTAATCCCATGAATAAGGTGCTATAATTTCCTCCATTTAGAGATAAGAAAACTGTGTGACTCAGAAAAATCTATTAACCTTAGATTACGCAGCTATTAGTTAGCCAGACGAGTATTTAATCCAAGGTTCTTTCTACTCTCTGTGCTATAATATACAATGCCGTACTATAGTAGATTATACCTATTTCACTCTGAATTTTAGCCTGCAAATGCCATGACTCTTGTTGCTTCCTTTCACATTTTATTTGATTAAAGCAAGTCATGGTCATACCTAACTTCATAGGAGGCAGGGAATTGCACACTTACCATTGCCATGTAACTGGAAGGAGAAAAGCATTTGGTAAACACCAATAATTGTTACCAGAATCCACGTGGAAGAGTCAAAAAATATCCAGGACTTAAGTAAAATGTGTTGCATGATTCTTGGGCTTCATATTATCATTAGTACTGAGTATTCCATAATCTTAGAACTGAGTGGTTTTCCCGTAAATATTTTTACTCTTACTATAGACCAGACTTGGAGTCCTAGTGTGGCACTGTAGATGAATGTGCTGGACTGCAAGGTCAGTTTGAACTGCAAACTCGGCAGTTAAAGCTCACCAGCCGCTCCTTGGAAACCCTATACAGGGTCGCTATGAGTCAGGACCAGCTCAACAGCACTTAACAACAACAACAGTAGACCAGGCAGTGCTAGTCTTGGTGGGGTGCTGTGGGATAATGCACTGGGTTCAGTTTGAACTGCAAGGTCGACAGCCCAAATTCACCAGCTGCCCCTTGGAAACTCCATACAGGGTCACTGTGAGTCTGAACCGACTAGATGGTACTTAATAACAAACAACATAGACCAGACAAGGAACCCTCATGACATGGTGAGTTAGGCATTGGGCTGCTAATTGCAAGGTCAGCCACTTAAACACACCAGCCACTCAATGGGAGAGATGAGATTGCCTGCTCATGTAAAGATTTACAATCTTGGAAACCCTTTAGAGGATCACTGAAAGTCAGAATTGACTAGATGACATTGGGATTTGGGGGCTGTAGAGCAGTCTATAGGTCTTGACTATGAAATGTAGCTTAGAAATAGACTATCTACCAAAAGAAGGATGACAACTGATCACTAATATTGTTTCCCTACAGTTCTCCCCCTTTCTTTTCTAGGATCTTGGGGTTTTTAGAAGTTTTAGGGGTGACCATTTCAGTTAATATAGAAATTAATGTTGATTTATGACCCTTTGGAGAGATTTCTAGATGATATTAGTAACTCTTCTTATCTGATAAAATTATATGTAGACAAATATTAGTTAAAATTAAATACAATATCTTATATTTTGATTGCTTTTTATTTTTTTTCAAATATTCATTTTTGCTTCTCATCATGTTAACATAAACAGAGCTTATTTTTCATTAATTAAATATTTGTTAGTTTGCATTTATCAGTCTGTCGAATGTTCACAACATATTTCTTTCCTTAATGCCATTTAATACAAATACTAAAACAGAATATTGTACGAATTTTGATAAATTTGGAACAATTACTTCTTTGTACTTAAAAAAAAAAAGACCACCTTTCAAGAGTTGTGTTTTCCTCAGTGAGAATAAACATCATATCTAAAGTACAGCTTTCATAAAGAGAATTTAGATGGCATTTTTTAACCATCCTTCCATTCCCTCAGAACATTTACATTGGATTTGATCATCAAAAGATAACTCATAATTCAGTGTGCTCAGACTGTATACGCTAATATATTGAATTTCCCAAGGAAGCCACTTATACAAATATTGGAAAGCTCTTGGTTGCCTCTTAAAAGGAGTATGTATTGATTCCCCTTGTTAATAAATAGTACTGGGATGATGCCAATAAAAACCTAATCTTTTTATTCCTAGTAGAATTTTGGATCTAAATTAAAATGTTAAGTTCTTGAATGTGGCCAGTATTATTTAATAAAACTGCCAAATACGGTTTATTAAAAGAGTACCATGAACATGGAGAGAGAGCAGCTGATTCATGGGAAGAGAGGGACTGAGAGCTGGCGGCCAGGAGGCAGACTTGCAGAATGTGCCCTTTGGTGGTATAAATTATATATGTTAAAAAAAAAAAAAAAAAAAGCTAAAAATGATTAGAGAGAAATATTGTTAATGGATGGTACATGGAGGGGATTCTAATCATTATAATGAAACAAAGTATATGATTTGTTGAATGTAAAACTGAAGATCTGCTCTGTAAACAATAAACAATAAAAACTTAAAAAAAAAATACCATGAAGTATGGGAATTACGAAGTGTAGACAAAAGGCAAAATTGTTGTAAAATACACAATGTAAAAAGAAAATCAGTATATTAGATAATTGTTGTTGAGTGTCGTTGAGTCAGTTCCAACTCATAGTGACCCTATATAGGGTTTTCGAGGAGAGGCTAGTGAGTTTGAACCACCGAGCTTGCAGTTAAAACTGACTTTGCGGTCCAGCGCATTATCCTACAGTGCCACACCTGGACTCCTGCATCTCTCTCTCTGTTAGTAATTTCTCAGATACATTTTGATTTGGTTAGTAGGATTTTTTCCTAGTGGCTGTTAAAGCACTTAACTACTAACGGTTACCCCCATAGCATATTTTTTCATAACCAAATCAAAATGTATCTGAGAAATTACTAACAGAGAGAGATGTAGTATTTGTTGTTGTTGTTTGTTGTTGAGTCTGTTCTGACTCATAGCAACCCTATATGGGGCATTTGAGATGTTCTGTTGGAGAAGAATATTTAAGGTACCATAGACTGCCAGGAAAGTGAACAGGTCAGTATTAGAAGTATAGCGTGAGGGCTCTTTAAGAGTCAGGATAATGAGACATTGACTCTCAGATTTTGCACATGTGTTCAAGAAGAGCAAGTCCCTGGAGAAGGACATCATGCTTGGTAAAGTGGTGGGTATGCGAGAAAGAGGAAGAGCTCCAATGAGATTGATTGGCACAGTGACAGCAGGACTGGGCTCAAGCATTAGAGTTGTGAGAATGGCGCAGGACTGAGCAGTGTGCTGAGCAGCCGTGTTTCGCTCTATTGCGTATAGGGTCACTTTGAGTTGGAACCAACTCGACAGCAACATAGGGTTTCTAAAGGAACCCTCATAGCATAGTGTGTTAGGTATGGGGCTGCTAACCACAAGGTTAGCAGTTTGAATCCACCAGCCACTCCAAGGGAATAAGATAAAGCTTTCTGCTCTTGTGAAGATTTACAGTCTCTAAAACCCTGTAAAGGTTTGCTATGAGTTAGAGCTGACCCAGTGGCATGCAGCAGCCACATAGGGTTTCTGAGGAGCAGCTGGGGGCTTTGAATGGCCAACCTTATGGTTGTTGCTGTTAAGTGCTGTCAAGTCGGTTCCAACTCATAGTGACCCTGTATAGGAAGGGTTTCCAAGTAGAGGCTAGTGAGCTTGAACCGCTGACCTTGTGGTTCAAACTGACCTTGCAGTCCAGCACATTAACCCACAATGCCACACCAGGCTTCCTAGCAGTTAGCAGTGCAGTATTTATCCTGCAGCATCACGTGTAGTTTTTACTTTGTTATTAAGTGCTGTTCAGTCTATTTCTATTCATAGTGACCCTGTATAGGGTTTCCCAAGAGCTGCTGGTGGGTTTAAACTGTCGACATTGCGGTTAGCAGTCCAGTGCTTATCCTGCAGTGCCACACTTACTAATTCCTTAATCTGTAAATACTAACTAAATATCAAATATGTTGGTTAATTTACTTAGCATTGTATGAGTCACAATATTGTCATGTGTCCACCATTCATATTTCTTCTATGGGGCACACAAGTAACTACAGGAACCCTGATGACACATCTGTTAAAGTACTTAACTACTAACTGAAAGTTTTGAGGTTCCAATCTATGAACCTTGCTGCAGGACAAAGATGTAGTAATCTACGCCCATAAAGATTTATGGCCTTGAGAGCCATATAAGGACGTCCCATTCTGTCCTATAGGATTGCTGGGAGTAGGAAGCAACTCTACAGCAGTGGTTTTAGCTCCCATACTAAGGAACCCAGGTGGCGCAGTGGTTAAACACTCAACTGCTAAACAAAAAGTCTGTGACTCAACCCACCAGCCACTCTGGAGACAGGAGAAAGATGCAGCAGTTTGCTTCCATGAGGATTTACAGCCTTGGAAACCTTATAAAACAGAGTTCTCTAAAATCCTATAAAACAGTTCTATAAAACACTCTGTTCTACTCTGTTGCTATGAGTTGGAATCAACTCAGCAGCATTGGGTTTTTGATAGTAAGCATGCTCATGGTTTTATGCACAGTTTAAATACTATTCTAGTAAAAACTAATGTCCAGTTGGGTTAGCAATGTGTAGCATAAGCCTAGAATGTAAATAAAAATACTTAAACATCAATAATTTGTAGTATGTTAATGAAACTTATTTGTGCATGACATATTTTTCAGTTGGATAACTCAGCTACTAGACTGTCCATATCAATTTTGGACACCTGTCAATCCTAGTTCCATCTTACTTGTTTTCACAAGACTTTAGCAGGTAATCATAGGAAGATGAAATTAGTCCTGAAAAATTTTGTGGAAGCTATGATATAATCCATAAGGAGCGGTTCAAACTAGTTTATCCTAGTGGCACTGTAGGATAACCATTGAACTGCTACCCACAAAGTTGGCAGTTCAAGCCCACCAGCTGCTCCATGGTAGAAAGATGAGGTTGTTTGCAACCATAAAGATTTTACAGTCTTGGAACCCCTCTATATTGGGTCATGAGATTAGTCAGAATCAACTTGATGACAATGGGTTGGGTTGGGTTTGCTTATGATATAATCCATACAATTGAGACTGAATATGTTCCTTTTTAATTTTGAATTTGTGACTAAAATTTATTAATTTTTTTATTTTCCTGAATTTTTTTATGCTACCTCCCCCACCCCACCCACCAGTTTTAACTGATCTGTACCTCCATAGCACTAGCTAGAGAAGAGGGAAAAGAAGTAAATTGACTATCACTACTTAATAATAACTCGTGAGTATTAAAGAGATAAAAAACCTATTTTGCCTAGTCCAGTTTCTTCTCATTTAATAACCTAGAATACAAATTCATTTTTAATGTAAATTATTTTACAAGTACCTAATGAGTGCTTAGTATTAATGTAGGTAATGCAAGTGTGTTGTTTTTGTACCTCTCTTCCTATGAGTATAAATTCTTATGATAGTTTTAATTTGGTTAGTTTCTTTTTATTTTATATTTATTTTTATCTATTAAAGTTTCATTCCATTTCTTAACATTGTTTCAGGAACGGGTGGAAAATTACTCTAATGTTAGTATTCTAGAGACGAACACTAAGTTTGGTTACTGCCAGGCCTGTGGATTATATCGCTGCTGTAAATACTTGGTGCAGTTATCAGGGAAGATGTATAATATCCGAACTATGGAAGGAGATGATTTCATGTCACATGATAAGCAGGTATTATTTTCTTTTAGCTTTATTTTTCAGCATTTAAAAACATTACGTTATATAATCTTACACAAATAAGCCTAGATTATTTTCACAAGTGGAGAAATTAATATTAAGAGAAGGGAGAAATCATAAAAAGAAAGGTATAATTTTTTAATGTAAAAGCATGTCTTAGCACATTTGTTTCATAATTCAGTCATATAATAAAATGAGTAATATGAAGGCACTTCAAACTCTTCATGGGAAAATGGAAATAAAAGAACATTTTGAAGCCCCTTGTACAAAATTTTTCTGTTTTTTTGAGAAACGTAATAAATAAATAAAGCAGTACTGGTGGTGAAATGGTTAAGTGCTCAGCTGCTAGCCAAAAGGTCAACAGTTCAACCCCACCACCTGCTCCATGGAAGGAAGATGTGGCAGTATGCTTCCATAAAGATTGTTGTTGTTGTTGTTAAGTGCCGTTGAGGTAGTTCCGACTCTGTTGAGTCAGTTCTGACTCATACCGACCCTGTATAGGGTTTCCGAAGAGCAGCTGGTGAGCTTGAACCACCAACCTTGTGGTTCAAGCTGACTTTGTAGTTCAGCACATTAACCCACAGTGCAACAACCTAGGAAACCCTATGGGGAAGCTCTCCTTTATCCTATAGGGTTGCTATGAGTTGGCATGGCATTATAGTTTTGTTTGCATTGATAAGTGCCAGTGTATTAATATTGAGCTCTTTTCTAGTGAGTCTGTGTACCGCTTTTATGGGCAAGGGTAGATTAGAAGCCCCAAGTCATCTTTGAAGGCCTCAAGCCAGCTAGGAAAATGGGAATATCCTGTTTATCTCAATTATTTTACTAAAGTAGGTAGTGTGAGTCCTCAGGATTATTGGGTTATAATTAACCAGATTCCTCTAAGCGGTCTGGGGTTCAAAAATTCATTTAGAATGTTTGCATGGGGATAATGAATTCAGAATTTGTCTTTAGTACTTTGTCAAGTTGCCATAAAACACATTTATTTCTGAGTATAGTCATATGCATATTTCCTTGTGTTTCAAAAACTGATTTATGATGTTTTATGCGATGAGACACCTAGAGTCTTAATAAAAGTGATTTAAAACTTTGAAGAACATCTTCTGTTGTATAGATAAAAATATTGCTATACATTCACTATTCTTGCTGTCCACAACTAATCCTAGAGAGGGAAGAAGAATTAGATAATAATTTCTAGAGTCTAAAGCCCTGTGGAGGAACAAAATCTATAATTTAAAAAGTTAACTCAAATATCTAAAAACAAAAAAAAAGCCAAGGTTTCAAGAACTAAAAGCACAGAGCAGTAAAAAAAATTCATGCAATGAAAATCAAACCATTAAATTTAACAAATGGGAGAATATTTATTCTCTATATAGCTGCTTTCATGAATTTAATATTATAGTTTTAGGAATTGTAATTTTTTTGTGTGTGAAGCCACTCTGCAAGGGGAACATACAAGTGATATTGTTAAATAGATTATTAAGATTGTTGTTGTTAAGTGCCATCAAGTCGATTCCAACCCATAGCGACCCTGTATAAGGTTTCCAAGGAGTGGCTATTAGTTTTGTCAAAAATGAATGCAGAATGTATGTGGGTAATTGGCATATCAAGTCTGGTGTCCTTCCTTGTGAAAAATGGCACTGATGGTGGCATTCTGAACATAGTAGAACTGCCCCATGGATCGTCAACACTATAATCCTTGTGAAAGCAGACTGCCCCATCTTTTCCTGCAGAGCGGTTGTTGGGTTCGAACTGCCTGCTGAGGTTTCGGTTACCAGTTGAGCATTGTGCCACCCATGCTCTTAGTATACTGTTAGCAGTCCACTATACTTAATTACCATCTGAATATGAATTAAAGTATGCAGTACAACATAGCCTTTGCTATTTGATTTCATTAATGTAACAAACTAAAATAGGTAAAATAAATCTCTGCTATTTGAAGTCAGGAAGGATGGGAGGATTTCCTGGGTGTTGGTAAAATTCTGTTTCTTGATCTGGGTTCACATGAGTGAACATTCACTGAGCTGTACACTAAAATGTATGAGTGTTTTGTGTGGATATCATACATCAGTGATTGAAAACATAACATTTTTATGAAATGCAGTTACCCTTCCTGTTTTAGCTATACGTTTGTAAAACACAGAATCTAGAAGACTATATGTTGTTTTTGTTAAGTGCTTTCAGGTAAGTTCCGGCTTAGTGACCATGTAGAGTTTCCAAGGAGTGGATGGTGGCTTTGAACCACTGACATGGCAGTAGCAGTGCAGTGCTTATTCTACAAGGGCCACACCAGGACTCCAGAAGACCACTTAGGGATAGAAATTAAGTTCCTATAGCTGTCTGACAAGGAAATATATGTGTTTTATTCACACTGGACACATTGATTAAGGCAATAAAGATGCATAAACAGCATTTTTTTTTTTTTTTTTACTGTGTGACATTTTTTGAGGGGACAAAGATGCATAATAAGAGAAAACTGCCAATACTTAATATTAGCAAGCACAAGAATGTATTTCGGTTTTATATGTTGCTTATGTCTAGAAAGTTCATTCAGTAAATCTGTATTTCTGAAACCTCGCAGGCTCTTTCTTACTTGTGTATTGCCATTCCTCTGCTTTACAAACTGCGTTCACCTCGTTCCCACACTTGACTAACTTTTCTCAAGACCTAAAGCATTACCTACTTGAGGACACATCTTTCTAGATTGGATTAAGGACTCCTCCTCTGTGCCTTGACAGCATGTCATACATGGCATTTGTCATATCACTTCACACTCATTTGTCTTTCTTTCCACACAGTACACTCCCTAATACAAATGTTGTTGGTGCTTTCAAGTCTGTATAGGTTTTCTGAGGAGCGGCTTGTGGCTTCGAACCACTGACCTGTGGTTATAACAATCCTACAATGCCATACCATGAGTCCCCTGATACAGATAGGACAACTTTTATTTATATCTCATTGCCTAACCCAGTACTTGAAAAATGGATGCTCAGTTTTTTGTTCACATAGTTGAAGAAGAGAAGGTAAAAGAATCATTGTACAGTGAAACTTGTGAAAGCCAGAGCTCCAATGAGACTGCCTTATATTTCCTAGTCTCCAAATTTTTCTGCCTTTGGTGGTGTTACCACTTTTCCACTGCTCCTCTTTGTAGAAAGGATTTGAGTTTTCCTTCTCTGACCAGGTTTCTACCTTATACAGATTCTGGCTTCTACACAGTTTACTGAATAAACTAAAATCAAGAATACATGTACTAGATCTTACGACTAAAGAGAATCTGAAAACCAGAAAAACTGTGTATTTGCTACTCTGTTATTGGCGTGATGTGTCCGATCATAATGATTATTTCTTAATTTAGGTGTTTACTATTGGTAGAATTTGTGCTAATCGTACCCGGATTTATCATCAACTGAAACATTTTAAATTCAAGCTCTACCAGGAATGTTGCTCAATTGCAAAGACAGAAGTGGAAGACGAACAGGTTAAAGAAACAGTGGAAAGAATTTTCAGCCAGTTCAAAGAAAGTGGCTGGATTAAAAAGGTAAAAATAAATAGATAAGAAACATCCTGAACCTTCAATAGATTCTGGAACCTAATAATGATCAGTCAAGGAATACAGATGTTTAGAAGAAAGTGAAATTTAAAAGAGAATCTTTCCTCTCACTGTCGGTGTTCTCTTCTCTTAATCACCCATTCCTTCCGTGTTTATTACTGCCTTCCCTGAATGTGGCCACATGTTCTAAGCAAGCATTCACTCAGGTCATCAGATAAGTTTAATAAGCAGTAATACTGTCCTTTAATGAAAGTTTTTTGTCCTTTCCCTTGTGCGTATGTGGTATGTCTCACTAATATATTGTTGTTACTAGGCATCGTTCAGTCGGTACGACTCATGGTGATCCTATGCACAACATAGTGAAAGGCTGCCTAGTCCTGCACCGACCTCACAATTGTTGCTGCGCATGAGCCTATTGCTGCTACCACTGCACCAGTCCATCTCTGTGGGGGTCTTCCTCTTTTTCTCCAACTCTCCACTTTACCAAACATGATAATACCTCCCCAGGGACTAGTCCCTCCTGATAATAAGTCTGAAATATGAGCGATGAAGTCTGGCCATCCTGGCTTCCAACGAACGCTCTGCGTGCACGTCTTCCAACACAGATCTGTTCTTTTGGCAGTCCATGGTACTTGCAGTACTCTCCTCCAACACCATAAATGCATCAATTCTACGGTCTTCCTTATTCACTGTCCAGCTTTCACATGCATATGAGATGGTTAAAAATACCATGGCTTGGGTCAGGCACACCTTAGTCCTCAAACTCACATCTTTGCTCTTCAACACTTTAAAGAGGTCTTGTGCAGCAGATTTGCCTAATGCAATACATCATTTGATTTCTTGACTGCTGCTTGCATGAATATTGATGGCTGATCCTAGAAAAATGAAGTCTTTGACAACATCAATTTTTTTTTTTTTTTGTCATTTATATAGATGTTGTTTATTAGTCCATTGGTTAGGATTTTTGTTTTGTTTACATTGAGATGCAACCCATTCGGGAGACTGTGGTCTTTGATCTTAATCAGTATATTAAGTCCTCTTCACTTTCAGCAAGCAAGGTTGTATCATCTGTATATCTGAGGTTGTTAATGAGTCTTCCTCCGACGCTGATACCCCATTTTTCTTCATATAATCCAGCTTCTTGGAGGATTATTTGTTAAGCATACTGATTGAATAAGTATGGTGAGAGAATACACCCCTGGCACACACCTTTCCTTATTTTAAACCATTTGGAGTTCCGTTGTTGTGTTCAAACAACTGCCTCTTGGTCTATGTACATGTTACTCATGAGCACAGTTAAGTGTTCTGGAATACACATTCTTCACAGTGCTGTCCGTAGCTTATGATCCACAAAATCAAAAGCCTTTGCATAGTCCAAAAAACACAGGTAAAACATCTTTCTGGTGTTCTCTGCTTCCAGCCAAGATCCATCTAATGTCAACAATGATATCCCTTGTTCCACATCCTCTTCTGAATCCAGCTTGAAACTCTGGAGGTTCTCTGTCAATATATATTTGCAGCCATTACTGTATTATCTTTAGTAAAACTACTGGCAGGAGATCTTAATGATACTGTCATATGATTTCCACATTCCATTGAGTCACCTCTCTTTGGAATGGACACAAATACAGATCTCTTCCAGTCAATTGGCCAGGTAGTTGTCTTCCAAATTTCTTGGCATAGATAACTGCCTTCAGTGCCACATCAATTTATTAAAAGATTTCAGTTTTATTCTATCTATTCCCAGAGCCTTGTTCTTTTCCAGTGCCTTCAGTGCGCATTAGACTTCTTCCTTCGGGATCATTGGTTCTTGATCATATGCTACCTCTTGAAATGGTTGAATATCAGCCTTCTTATTTTGGGTAGTGATTCTATATATTCCTCCCATCTTTTGATGCATTCTGCATCATTCAATATTTTGCCCAAAGAATCCTTCAGTACCTTAATTTTTTGCTTCAATTCCTTCAGCTTGAGAAATGCTGAACATGTTCTTCTCTTTTGGTTTTCTAACTCCATATCTTTGCACAGTTTGTTATAAGGTTTGACTTTGTCTTCTAGAATTGACCTTTGAAATTTTCTGTTCAGCTCTTGTGCCTCCTCATTTCTTAAATTGGCTTTAGCATCATCTCTATGCTGGAGAGAAAGTTTCAGAGTCACTTTTGACATCCATTTTGGTCTTTCTCTTCTTTTCTTGTCTTCTTAATGACTTTTTTATTTTCTTCCTGTATGATGTTCTTGATGCCATCTCACAACTCTTCTGGTCTTAGGTCTTTAGGGTCTAATGCATCAAATCTTTTCCTGAGATGATCTTTAAATTCAGGTGGGATATGTTCAGGGTCATATTTTTGCTCTCATGGACTTGTTTTAATTTTCTTCCGCTTCAGACTAAATTTGCATATGAGCATCTGATGGTCTGTTCCACAGTGTGTGCCTGACATTGTTTTGGCTAATCATTACAGAGCTTTTCCACCGTCTCTTTCCACAGATGTAGTCAGTTTGATTTTTGTGTCTTCCATATGGTCAGGTCCATATGTATGTTGTTGTTGTGAAGTGCTGTCGAGTCGGTTCTGACCCATAGCGACCCTGTATAGGGTTTCTGAGGAACAGCTGGTGAGCTTGAACTGCCAACCTTGCAGTTCAAATGGCTTTGCAGTCTGGCATATTAACCCACAGTGCTATACCAGGACTCCACATATATAGTCGCCTTTTATGTTGTTTAAAAAAGATATTTGCAATGAAGAAGTTGTTGGTCTTACAAAATTCTATAATGCAGTCTCCAGCATCATTTCTATCTTCAAAGCCGATTTTCCAACTACTGATCCTTCCTTTGTTTCCAACCTTTGCAATCCAATCGCCAGTGGATTGAGTACATGTTTGATTGATTTCAGACTGAAGAAGTTGGTAGAATTCTTCAATTTCATCATCATTGGCTTTAGTGATTGGCATGTAAATTTGAATAATAGTGGTATCAACTGATCTTCCTTATGTTGTTGTTGTTAAGTGCTGTTGAGTCGGTTCCGACCCATAGTGACCCTGTACAGGGTTTCCAGGCTGTAAATCTTTACGGGAGCAGAAAGCCTCATCTATCTCCCATGGAGCAGCTGGTAGTTTCAAACTGCTGACCTTAAGGTTCGCAGCCCGATTCATAACCACTACGCTACCAGAGCTACCAGATCTTCCTTATAGACGCATGAATATTATCCTATCACAGACAGTGTTGTACTTCAAGACAGATGTTGATAAGTTCTTTTTGATGATGAATGAGAGAGTTGCCACACCTTTTCAATTTGTCATTACCAGCATAGTAAATCATGTGATTGTCAGATACAAAATGACTAATACCAGTTGATTGCAGCTCACTAATGCCTAGGATACCCATGTCTATGTGTTCCATTTCTATTTTTACAACTTCCAATTTTCCTAGATTCATACTTCATACATTCCATGTTCTGATTATTAATGTATGTTTATAGCTGTTTCTCCTCTTTTTGAGTTGTGCCCCATCAGTAAATGAAGGTCCAGAGGACTTTACTCTTTTCATATCATCATGATCACCTCTACTTTGAGGAGGCAGTTGTATTTTGAGTGCCTTCCAACCTCAGGGGTTCATCTTCCAGCAGTATATCTGACAATATTCTGGTGCTGTTCATCATGTTTTAGCATTTAATATTCTTGTGCTAATAGTCTTCCACTCTTAGTCATAAAGTTTTTGATTACTGAGTATTTGTAAGTAGTCTGCCTTTCCTTCACCCTAGTCTGTCTTCATACGGAAGCTCAGCTAAAACGTGTCTTCCATGAGTGACCCTGCTGGCATTTGTACAAGTATATTAAGTTCCTTTTCTTTGACAAAATATAGAACTCACCTCTGGTTGTCTGCTTCCTATTGTTTCTGGCAGTTCTTGTGGCCTTAGGGTGAAGAAGCACCTCGTGCCAATCTGAGGAAAGGATCCCAGCTGCCCATTCTAATACCATCTACATTTTCTTCTTGATGACTTGGGACTGAGCAATGAGCACCATTGCTGAAAAACAAGGGGAAAAGGCGGAGGTTTCTGGCCACAGCACTGATTTTAATTCTTTCCTATCTTGCTGATAACTAAATTTGATACCAGGGATAAAGTAGGGGTTTTGAAGAATGTCTGGGTTCCTGAAGATCTGCTGGAAGCTTATAAGCTCTCATTTGCTCATGGGCCTTTTTAGAATTGTTTATGGTACATGGATAGAATGCTAAGATGATTGCAGTCTTCTAAAACAAGTCTAGTTACATGAATGTGTGAGAACAAATAGTAGGTTTTCAGGCAACTGAGCTCAGCAGTATGTTTCATGTTTTAAAAAAGCAAAGCTTGACCTCAGATCCATTGCCTGGGTTGTGTCATAGGGACACTTCTAAAAGAGAAGCAAAAAACAAAGCAAGAGAACTTGGAGAAAAAATATTTGTGAACAAAAGGAAAGAAAAATGGAACAACATAAAAGGAACTTCTTAGAATTCAATGGGGGTCTTCCTTGTCTGGAGACTGACAAGATTTTTGGTTTTCCCTTTTGACAATTATCCTCCCACCACAGCTACCACCCAATGACACCCTGGTGTGCCACCCACATCCTGACCCTTAAGTTTTCTTTTTCTCAGTTTATCTTTTACTTTGTCCTGGTCTCTTCAGTTTGTCTTTTACTTTGCCTCTACTTCTCCCCTCTGCTGCCAATTAAGCCTAATTCGTTCTTCTCCTCCCACCTGGCTTTCTGTTTTCCATTCCCTTGGCGGAGAGCCATCACTTAGCCACCAACCACCCCGCTCTCATCTTCATTTTCCCAGGTAACATTAAATTCTTAAGCACTTTTATTGATGTATTAAGTGTTGCCAAACTTTAGGTGAAGTTGAAAGACTTATTTGGACTCCACATTTATAGAGAATTGTGTACCTAGGCATAGAAAAATCACTATGTATGTAAGTATAATATACACACATGAATTGTTAACATAGAACATTATAATGT